ACTGACCTTGCCAGTGTCACTCACATTTCATGAAAGAACACATTTAAAACAAAACACAAAATGCTCTAAATGCTGGAAATCTGAAATAAAACCAGAAAATGCTATAAAATCAGTGGGTCAGGCAGCATCTGTAGACAGGGAAGCAGAATTAGCATTTCAGGTCATGTTCTTTCCTCAGAACTGGAAGGAGATGGATTTTACTGCATTTACAACTGAGGATCTGATCACATTCCAACTTGATAATCAGGCTTCCTCTGCGGGTGGGAGCAGGGGGAAAAGGGAGAAATATCCAAGCAGACTAAAAGTGGCAAAAGTACGCTGATGATCTTAGCTAACAAGCTAAAACCCTAAGTTGTGAACTAGTCTTCGTGCTATTGACACCTGCACTGTTGATATGTTCAGCATCAAGTGAAAACCTCAGGCTATCTCTGCAACTTCCTCAACCTCTTCAATGGTCAGATCTCTGTGCTTCTCCAAATCTGGTCTCTTGTAGCTTGCCATATTCCATCACCCACTGTTAACAGCGGAGCCTTCAGCTATCTAGGACTCAAGAGCTGGTAGTCCCTCCTGCTAAGACCCTTGCCCTTCTTCGAGACACTTCTTGTAACCACCCTCTTTGACCAAGATTTTGGCATCCAATTTTATAATAATCTTAAAAGGCACTACACAAAATGACATTGAATCTACAACACTGAATAAGGCCATTCTAACTGAATGATCAATGCTAGTGGGTGTACACTGCATAACCTCTTCATTTAATCTTACCAGCATCTCCTTCTATTCTTTTTTTTAAAACCTTCTAATTCTCTCAGAATACTGACTATAAAACATTTAACACTTCACTCTCTACTTACGGATGAGCACATTTCACTGGACAAAAGGCTGGTCGCATCACACACCGAAGTTATGTGACTTGTTTCTCCACATTACAGCAGCTGCCCACCACCCTAGCCCCAGTTTGTTGTTAGGCTTGTTTCCATGCATTTGGACTGATGACATTTGTTTGCTTTCTGGCTCTTCTTATGTCAAATAACAGTAGGTGCTTTCCCTTCATGCAGTAAGAATTCTGTGCTCTCAAGTCATGCTAAGAAAAGTAAACTAAATAGGTTTCCACCTGGACTACTCACAGCAGTGAATCATGAAGCAGAAACTGTGCAAAATAGGTTGCATGGCTCATATGCAGGGCCATCCAGTGATTATCACACAATATTTCTATCTGTCCATTGGTAGAGCTAAATATATAGAGCAAATCACAAGTCAGACGTTTTCCAACTCAATTGAAATCCAGGCTAGCATCACTTATGTGTGTGTGAAATGGTCTTTTAGAGATGATGCCAATCCATTCCGGTTTATCCCAGCAGTGATGAGCTCTTGCAAGTATAGCAAGTGGTAGAAAGTGGCTAGACTGGGCTGAGAGGGGCACCACAGATGCAGGGGAGGTAATTAATGACATGGGTTTGGTAAAATGCAGTGAGAAAATACATCAGGCCCCACAGAGAGAAATACCACCATGAAACTTGACACTTCGCCAAAAAAAACATAAGATTTAGCCCATTCTCTCCATCTGCCTTTCAACTCAATGAGTGCCAATTAGCTCAGAAGTATCTTTGCTTTAATGCTATACTCACTACAGAGGTGAAAGATCTACAAGGAGCTTGATGCTGCTACCAGCACTAAGTCAGAACATTCTCGCCTGCCTGGAGGATTTCAACATGAGAGTGGGCGTTAACTATGAAGTAGAGTTCTCCTGCCTGAGGTATAGTGGCCTGGAAATGATAAATGAACAGATAAACAGAACTTTGCTGCTACTATGATCTTTGTATAACTAACAACTCAAGTTATCCTGGAGATGATTAAGATCAAGTCATTGATATCAGCTAGATCTGATCATTGCCAGAAACAACTCTTTGAATAGCTTCTCAACACATGCAGCACTGATGGTGATTCAATCGTTCCACAACGTGCAGTAGGATGATGATACAACCATTTTTCATTCAAAGCACAGACACCATCCTCATATTAATGTCAGCCCCTTTGCAGGGGAGCATTAATCTAGACTGCAGTTTATCAGCTGCGGAACACAGGACTTCTGGAGGGTTGTAAATACACTCAAGTTCACCCTTTCACAGTGAGTAATGCATGCCACAAGATCAATTTTTAAAACTTTTCATATACAAGAAATAAGAACAAAATTAGAAAATTACTAATCTATCAAGAATTGAAAGTAATCATTTCACTGACACCGCAATCTGGAGTAATCAGGAGATTAACTGCTGACTATTATAACAAACTGGTTCTTACATGATGCAATATACCATTCAAGTCGTCATCAAACATTTGTTACTTCTGCAAATCTATATTTCCTTCTAATCCAAATATAAAAACACACACTTATGCAAAAGAAATAATATATTATCTCTTTATCGGCAAGCAAATCTATGCAATATACTTCCCCTGAATAATCCTGATGTCATTGTGGAAGACTCAAATGTGTTGCACCGCTGACACAGATACCGCCTTTTACAACAGAAAGAACAACAAATGTATGGGTATTTCACCAAAATCATTATTCCTAACAATGCTGAGTATCAAAGTTACACTGTCAAACAAAAAAAAATAACTAATTTTGTAAGATCATTCTACAATACTGACTGGGTACATCATTTCCTCAAATTATTACCTAGAGTTTTATTTATAATTATTAATACACAAGCTGTTTATTCCCTTTTTCCTCTTGCACAACAGACTTCAAAAGGTCCAAACTGAGAAATCGTACAGGGGTCTGAGCAATACGGCCGATGGGGAGATATGGGGCAGAATTGGACAAGTGCAACGAGGCCCATCCCGACATCAGGAGCAACTTGTTCCATCTTTTCCGCTTTTTACAAGTGGCGTGGCAAGGCAAGATTCTCGTTCGTTAGCAGTGATTTGCCAATTAACAACCATTAATGACTGTTAAACACCTTCTTAAATCCCAAAGCGCCTCATTAATAATCTTACCAAGCTCGCCAAGCAAGGAAACCAGAGCAAGCACCTGGTGGATTCAGTTCGCCACTTGCTCTGAATGATCTTCATGTTGGAAATGAGCACCAATATCTCATGGGAACGTTCCATGGGCACCAGCCATCTACACGTCATGTCCATGGTAATTCGCACGCAACATATGCCAGACTCAAACGACCTTCATGGCACATCTGCAATCCAATTACACTTCAGCTCTTACAATACTGCACCTCGGGAACAATGGTAGCTATCATTCTAATGTTGTAGCAAGGACACTCAGGGACATGCACCCAAGCTTATAGTCTGGACAAGGCTGTATTTCAGGGCTCTTCACTTACCTTCATAAAGCTCACTCACTCTGAACCTTCTCAGATACTCACAACATCATTGCCTTACGCTCAGACCAAAGAGACCAGGGCTCATATTACCACTGTTCTGCAGTGCCATTTCGAATCACAGAATCGCTAC